TCCAAAGCCGATATTCACCAAAAAAAGGTGATGCTGTCTGTTTGGTGGGATTTTAAAGGAATCGTTTTTTTTGAGCTTTTACCGGATAACACAACGATTAATTCGGAAGTCTACTGTCATCAGCTGGACAAACTGAATGATGCACTTCAACAGAAAAGGTCAGAACTAATCAACAGGAAAGGTGTAGTGTTTCACCAAGACAACGCGAGACCTCACACAAGTTTGGTCACTCGCCAAAAGCTTTTACAGCTTGAATGGGATACAATGCTACACCCACCATATTCTCCAGACCTGGCACCATCGGATTATTATTTGTTCCGGTCACTCCAAAATTTTTTAGACGGTAAAACCTTCACCTCAAATGAGGAGGTCAAAAACCTCCTCGATCAGTTTTTTGCCAGCAAAGACCAAAAATTTTATGAGCGTGGAATTATGCTACTACCAGAAAGATGGCAAAAGGTGTTGGACCAGAACGGTCAATATATAATTTAATAAAGTATTTGTTTATTATACGAAAACTGTCTTTCATTTCCACAACAAAAACGAAATGATTTTCCGAACAACCCTATAAATGCAAAATAATTAGATTATCGACATCAAAAAGTAAATTAGGAAAATTTTAAGGCGTGGTGAAGAGAAGATCTAGAAATATCGATCCACGTCTGATAGCTTCTACAAATCATTGACCATGAACTTAATGCTAAATGATCCGATGTGCGATGCTTCGAAAGTACTGGTGCACAATGTCCTTTCGTTCTGAACTTGCACCTATGGTTATTTAATGTTTTAAATTGCGAAGTAAAACGAAATTTCAGGTTTGTTAAATAGCCATTTGCTGTAGGTCGAGCTTAATAAAAAGATATTAAAATATATAACGAGGTTACCTACGGAGTCGAATGAGTTGAACCATAAATTTAAATCGAATGCATTTTCTGCAGGTGATAGTTCACACAAAGCAAAATAGGAATTGGAATTGCCTTCGTTCAATCGACCAGATAAGGCCGTCACTGGTGAATTACAGCCACTACATCTCATTGTCGTTCAACCAACTGATATTTATTAAGGTCGAGAAAGCATAATAAATGTCTGACTTTTTCCATCTCGCTGCTTTAAATTAATAGTTAAAAGGAACAAGGAAAAAAATTGGTTGTTTCCAAGGGTAAAATTCAATTTTTTATTACTGTAACAATTCAGCACAATATTTATGGTCATATGAAGAGCGATCGAATCCTATTTTATTTTACAGTATTTGAGAACACCCCTGTACATGATTTCAAACTATTTTGAGCTTTGTGGGAATAAATGATTAACAAAATACTAAATCTATTCCGTTTGAATCATGTCATCATATTTTTGGGGTGAAGCGAGGCGAAGGCCGGCGTAGCTCTATTCTTCCCCGATTTAGGACTTTCGGTTGACACGCACCTTCTTTTAAACGACTTTACGATAATTCAAATTTGGCACAATGTTCACAGTCAGGGGCAGGTGTTTAAAAACTAATTTTTAAAATCGGACATACCACGGAGGAATAATCACCAGATTTTATTTTTATCTGATTTCTCAAGAACGGTCAATCACAAATTTTCGAATTTGACGCTAAAATGACTATCTTGAGACTGTCTACAGTCCAAGACATAAAATCACAATTCGGATGTACAATTAAAGAATAATCGGTAAAAATTATGTAATATTGGGAGGGGGCTCGTTGCGTTAGCTAAGCGAGTGACCAGTGGGACAAATCGTTAAGTACCTACTGCCCCATTTCATCTTGCAGCATATTGCGAAGATTACTTCGTCCAGGCGTAAACCAGAGCGGTTACGTATTGGGTGTTTTATTGCCTGAACCGTCACTTTAAACGACTCAGACTATATTATGACTGTACAAGATAATTTGTAGGTGTCTTAGTTATGCGATACCATATATTAGGAACTAGGATATTAAAAACCCAAGGTTTTTTATCTAAAATTAATTATGTAAGAGGGTTGCGTCTATTCATCATAATCATATGGTCGTCAGTCCTAAGACTGGTTCGAGACACACACCTCCACTTCTCCCTATCGGGAACTAAACTTTGCATTTCCCTAAAACTAGAACAACCCACATCTTTAACTATTTGCGAACAATAACCTAATCTTGGTCTACCTCCACCCCTCCTAACTCCCATTTCTGCCTCTAATAGGTCTCTGACTAGACCTTCATGTCTGAGAAGGTGTCCTACCAACCTATCTCGCCTATTTCTTATTGATTTCCATAGAGCCCTCTGTTCTCCTAAACGTTCTTTCTAATACCTCTTCATTTCTAACATTCTCTATCCACGGTATACTCATCATTCGCCTGTAACACCACATTTCGAACGCTTCTAAACTTTTCTTTTCCGCTGCGCCCACCGTCCATGTTTCCCACCCATACAGCTTCGCGCTCCTAACATGCACCTTTAACAACCTTTTTCGAATTCCTAAATTAATCGTTCGCGAGCATAAAAGTGACTTCTTTTTATTAAAGGCGACTCGACCCTGCGCTATCCTCTAAGTACTTTATATCTCTACTTCTCTTTTTGTCCTGCCTTATCTGACTTCCTAGATTCCTAAAATCAGCCACTTCTATTATTATCGTTAATATAATGTCCGAGAATTTCGTTTAAGTGAGCTTCTGGCATCGAAATAGAAACGAGTACGATACGTTGTTTTCGTCTTTTGTTCTTGTCCTGATCGTGCGGCTCAGTCCCTGAAGTCCCCGGGGATGGGTCGCGTAGCGCGGCATCGGATCGTTCTGGAGTTAAACATTAATTTCGTCGTATTTCCAGGGCGTAGCGGAGTCGTTGGTCGCGTCTACAACATGTAACGCACATGCAACGTCAAGAGCATGATTTATGTAGGTACATACCTACGTCTCACGATTCACCCCCTTTTGTTTATCTAAAACTGATTTAATGAAGCCCGGAAATGTGTACAATTCTCGAGATGGAATGACAAATTGAGTCGCGGAGAATAATTAAGCGGAGCCGGCAATTATTTCGGTATCGCGTAAATTAATAAGCGACTGTCAGGCCTATCAAAATGTCTAATAATAATAATTAGATCGCGACAGAACACCTGTACTTATGTTTCAGAAATATTGGCGCGATTAATAGATAATGCGTCAACTAAAGTGAGGGTTTACGGGGACATACAAACGTTTTAATATTCATGTTATGCGGGATGGCCTTTCAGAAATGTCTCACGTTTTGGAGAACCTCGGATGCCAGATGATCAAATGCCATCTGCAAGTACCTGCACTCGTTTGAATTAATTTATCTCATTGTCTACTTAACCCCTAAGGAAAAGGTACAATTTTACCACTTATGTATCATAATTAATTAATATCAGATGGATATATCATTTTTTTAAACAGTACAATGATGATAATACATTTTTTTAACTTAAATTGCGTTCTATTTATAGTTATTATGAAGCTCATGCGTATGTAAATGAAGCTAGCCAATCAACCAATCTAATCATTGATCGATGCTTCGCCAATTCTATTTCGTTACCGCGGTTAGAAGTAGCTAATTAATACAGAGTGCTATAACGGAAAAGGATGTTGCTTAATGGTTATTAGAAGTTTCTTGTAGCATTTATGAACATAAAAATGCGAAGTGTTATATAGTAAGAATGAACACTTGGTGATACCTTATAGCAGGATTAATTTCTTCCAAACAAAATGGAAAATATGGAAACGCATATCCAGGGGTGTTATTGAGGTTCTTTTTCCCGAAATATGGTCAAATTTAATTAGAGATAGGATTAAAGCCGAAAAGTAATTCAGTATTTGGTCAATTCGGCTGTATACCATCATTCAATATTCCGCCGAAATTTCCATTTGCTTACCGAATATTCGGCTACTGCTTATTGTCGATTCTCCCTTGTCATCTCTTGAAATCAATGCACTGAACAATGTACCCTGAACTTTACTTATATCCTCTACATCTTTGCCAGTCGAACTTACGAATCGACAGGCGGTTTCGTACAAACTTGTAAAGGTATGTAAATAGTTTTTCTGTCACAGGAATCGAACATCAATGATTTTCCCGCTTTGTCCGAGTATGTTTTGAGTCACAGAATCATATAATTTCAATATTACATTAAAAAATACTTTTTTTGTAATGTAACTATAGTAGTCATTTACTATTTTGAGATTATTCCATTTACTTTGCCAAATTTCACGTTTCTAATGGGTCTTAAGACTGGTCGGACACGCACCTCCACTCCTGAGATAATCCTCGCATTTCCCTAAATCAAGAACATCCCACATACTTAACCATTTCTTAAAAGTAATCTAATCTAGGTCTTCCTCTACTTCCTTAACTTCTGTTTCTAGTTCTAATGTCTCTGACTATACTCTGAGAAGAAGACGTAAAAGATTTTCTTTTATTCGCGTAGCATTCTCGCCACTAAGGATGCTGCCAACCACGTTTCGCATAGCAAAATTCACAACAGCGTCTATCGAAAAGTTTCAAGATTACTGTAATAAAATTAATTTATCTATGCAATACAAACAAGCTTGTGACTTGTTTTTAACTGATTTAATAGTGTGTACTGGTAAGCCAACATCGAAGTGATATATTATAAGCATGTAAATGTACATGCGTATATCTTTCAAGAGTCAATGTGTTGAATTATAAAAATATTAATCATAGCAATCAGTTAGTGAGACGACATTCTTGTTACCTGAAGTTGTTGGCGTATTAACATGCATTCAAAAGTTGATTAAAGAAATAAGCTGTCGATGATCAAATCTCTCAATTGCTAATGATATTGTACAATTTTTTTGCATACCTTCCCTGCAATTAAATCAGTTTTACAACTACCACACATTAAAAGAAGTTCTTGACGAACTTTACTTCAGCTTTTCTTGCAAACGTTGGTCTGACATTACACACGTTTAATTTACGTGAATCTAATTAATGTGCATTTATATAAGTACAAAAAGTAACTTTGAAATAACCAACTAAAAATTACAGGACCCTTATCTCGATGTACCTGAAGCGACAACATATGAGCTGTCATCATGTTACAACGTGAGCATCGATTGTCGTTCCGGAGACGTGATGGTACGGATACAGACCAATAAAATTTTCGATGGAAAGGTTTACGCAAAAGGTAGCCCTAATTCCTGCGTCCAGGACATCAACAACAGTCTGGAGTTCGATTTAGAAATGGGATATGACAACCTAGAGTGTAATGTGAAGAAACAGGGACTGGGCAAATACTTCAACGAAATCGTCATTCAGCATCACGACAAGATTGTAACAAGTTCCGATTTAGGTGAGCAAACAAACAAAATTTTAGTCCTTTTTGCAAATTGCAATACTCTTTTATTTTCAGGCCTTGCAATATCCTGTAATTATGACCTAACGAACAAGAGCGTTTCGAACGAGGTCGACTTAGGTGTCCAAGGAAACTTCGAAACCGTTCTGTCGGAAGACGTAACCGTAGAGTCACCGAATGTCATTATGAAAATAGAGAGCAGAAGTGGCGATGACTTAAACAGCGCTTCCGTCGGCGACCCTCTCACGCTCAGGTTCGAAATCCTCGACCTGGATAGTCCTTACGAAATTTTCGTGCGCGAACTGATAGCGATGGATGGTGCCGATTCCAGCGAGATAGTACTCATTGACGCCAACGGATGCCCGGTGGACGACCTTATAATTGGACCAGTTCTCAAGTCTTTGCAGTCGCCGAAGGTAATGAGGAAACCAAGTTCCCGTTATGAACTTTAATGATTTATACAAATTACATCAAATGTAGTTGTATCAATGATGCTAATACGTTATGCAATACCGATCCAATGAAAACTCATCAAAGTTTAAGTCATTATTACAAATTAATGTTGAAAAGGTATTTGCAAATCATGAATATTGATTAAAGCATTATATTTGTAATGAACTTCGTCGGGCAAAGACAAGATCAAATTTAATCGAAACTTCTCATCTATTGGTACAGTCAGTCTCTATGTATATATAATATATAAAGTACAGTTTCGTCCACTGTTTTTAGGAAAAGTGCAGAGGGTGGTAGCTAGAATAAATAGACTATTTCAATATCATATAACTCACTGCTCTCTTGGTTTTGCTAGCAGAAAGTGTTGTAGTCTTGGTCTTTTGACCAAAACCAAACCCAATATTCCTCATCACTAGTTGGAGTCCCTTTCAATGATTAATTCTTAGCTGCTTATCATTGTCAAGTCGCACATCTATCATCCTCTGTAATAGTCTTTAGTCATAACAATTGCCTCCATCTCCTCGTTCGAACTTTGGATTTGAATTCTTTTGTGCTTCTTTCGTTGAAAACAAAAGCATCAACCGCTATTTACTCAATATTCTCATAATTGTTGATTGCTCTGCGGGGAGAAGATCGCCCCTTTCATGTTGTCAAACGCACGCTAAAAATTCATTAGCAGGACGCGTCGATACGGAAGATTCGATTGGACGTGCGGGTCGCGCGAACGTTTAGTGCACACGGTTGCTGACGTCACCATTAATTAACGCACCGAACGATAATCTGGTGACGGCTTGCGAACGTGTTATTCCGACGTCTCCTAGGATCCACGACGCCTAGTTGTTGACGTCGCTTGTACGCCAGGACATAGCGTCCTGTCAATAACATAGACAGTTGCTCTCATGATTTGAAACGTCGAATGAGGGGCTAGGGTGATCCCGAATAATTGGAAGGAAGATTATCAGTTTCAACTCGGATTATAAATATCTAATAATAAACTTTTGTTTGATACCGTCACTAATATCAGTTCTCAATTAGTAGAAGGTTAGAGGTCCGTGATAAAGATGGAAATTGATTTCTTGGTAGAGTTTACGTTAAGATCATTAAATGGGAAATTGTATAATGGAATACTTTCATATTACCTTTTCGACCAGATTTATTTACTCTAATGGAAATACGAACATGCATTTAGGATTTTGTCTTACTTTATTTCGTATAAAAATCTTACCAACTTTTGGTGCAAAACCGAAGGTATATATATGTATGTATGTTTACAAGAAACTTTTACGACACATTCCGTCATTTTATTTGATTTTCCATTATCAGTCCTACATGTACATACATATAAGTGAATAAAAACATGCCAGATTATGTTTAAGGAGTATAGATATCGCGTAAAACGGGTTGACAATTTTTATAGACTTCTTCTGTCATTTGAATAAATCACTCGCCCGACTTCTGGTTCTGGATTATTATTTTCAACGATTTTATATGTCGGTTTCGTCATGCAAACGAAGTAAAAATATTTTATTCCTCTTCCATTACGAGCGGGTTTTTTTCGAGTTTTTGTTCAGAAATATGTCTCTTGTTTTATCGTCTTTGCTGGCTCTGGCACTTCAAAGTTGTATGTACGATTTGATACGTGAACTTGTCACCGTAAACCGTATACGTCGTTAATATTGATTCTTTAAGAAACGACTTCGACTCATATCAACCACAACAATTGTTCTGGTTTGCTCGTAAAAATTTTATTACCCCTAGGTAATACTTGTTCTTCTTCTTCTTCTACTTCTTCCTCGACTTCTCCGAGAATGAAAATCGTTAGTTCCTTTATAACAATCTTTCAAACCAAAACACTCGTAAGAATACTAATGCGCTACTGACTCGGAATAATATTTTCGTCTTATTCTCTCACAGGGACGATAAATTACTATCCAATAAAATCGAGCTGAATAACTAGGCGAGTGAATACCCACGAACCTACCAACAAAACACAACCTGTAACTACGTACACAGTTACCTTTCGTCTGTCCACGATTAGATCTATTGCTGTATCGCTTACAGGTTGCTTCCATGTAAACGAATATTTCGATCATCGATTTAATTTTAATGATTTATAAGTGAATGTGAAATTTAGCTGCTTTTTAAAACTTTAAAATCTCTTACTGGGAAAGTAGGCCAATACGATTTACTGCTTTATGGGGCTTGTAGCGAGCATGAGTGTGTTTGTGTGCGATCGGGCACACGTGTGCGTGAACGGCTTATCGATTCGCCGCGGGCGCCTTTCTTCATGTGCGCCGTATTTGTAAATGTGTGTGTCGTACCTGCGTTTTGGGAAAGCAGTTAAACAGTTCAAAGAAAAAATAAACTATCCGGATGTTTCCAGAAGGTCCCAGAAAGTAAACAAAACAATTTTGTTAAACCCACGAAGATTTCTGAATCGTAGAAGTACACAAGAACAAAAGGAATATTCACAGCAATTAAAGAACGTATTAGAAAACACCAGCCAAGTGTTAAATTTGTAAATAAGTATGGAAATAGTTCGTCCGCGGTGAGAAAGTCATCGATATTCTTTTAAGCAGAAACCCTTTAATCCTATAGAGTTTTACTGTGAATGATTCACGAAATAATTATTATAAAGATTTTTTTAAATTTGGACCATAATAACCACAAACAAAATTCTAAGGATTAATTACAGTGATAAGCAACTTCATTAACGGTTTAAACATTTCCAATGTCACTTGGCACCAACTGATTGTGAGTTCTAGAAAATTTATTTCAAAAAAGCTATTACTTGCTACATTTGTTGCGCTATTTTGCTCTTCAGTGCTCGAATTAATTTCAAATAACGATCGTTTGCGCTAATCAAGGCGAACTCGTACATTTAGGTATTCATGTAAGTACATGCACACAAGTACGGCAGGACAATGGGGCTTCAAGTGCGCCCTTTGGACAGTTTGCGGCATACACAGCCGACGTTTCCCTAACATGCACTTGCGGTTTACGCTGTTCAATCAAGTTGTGCAGCAATCAAAGGAGCCATGTCAACAACCTTAATTTGCAAATTGGAACGAGAGATCGGCTCAAAGCGTACCACCGCTTGTTTGGGAATGTTAAAATTTACTTGTATGTTTGATCAGAATAGGATGCTATAGATACCGTTGAATGTGTTCATCATCATTATACTGTCGGCAGTCCTAAGACTGGTTGGACACGCACCTCCACTCATTCTATCTTGAACTAATCTTAGCATTTCCTTAAAACCAGAGTACTCCACATCCAACTGTTTATGAACATTTTACTTCTACTCCTTTTAACGCCTGCTTGTGCTTGTAATATGTCGCTAATTAGCCATTCATGTCTCAGAAGGTGTCCTACCAACCAGTCTCGCCTATTTATTATTGATTTCCGTATCGCCCTCTATTTACTTATTCTAAAATCTCATTTCTAACCTTCTCTATTCACGGTATCCTCGCCATTTGCGTATAACATCTCATTTTGAACGTTTCTAACCTTTTCTTTTCTGTTCTCAAGACATACATATCTAACAATCCTTTTCAAATTTCAAAATCAGGGGCTTGTTCTCGCCTCCTATCTTTATAATCACTTGATAATGAATCCTAATTAAAATTATAAATTCCTTTTGATAGCACATTTCGCGGTCATTACGAATGAGCCTCTCTTTTCATTTATTACCTTATCACAGGTTTGCACCTTTGGAATATTAGAAAAAGTAATGCATTTTGTGTTTTCAATAAAATTTCTTCAATTTTCAGTAGAATTCCTAGTCAAATTCTTCTGTGCTTTTTAATCTCCTTATTAAATGTTTCAGTTTATCATCACCACCATATGTCCTCAGCCCAAAGACTAGACCCACTTCTTCCTACCTTAAGCCAATCTTTCTTTCTCTAAAACTAGAATTTTGCGGATAGTTACCTAATCTAGACCTACCTCTATCTATGTTAACTCCTATTTCTGCTTCTAATATGTCTCTAAGTACGTAGTTCTTCATGCCTGAGAAGGTGTCCTACCAATCTATCTTATTGACTTCCATAGCGCCTTCTATTTATAAGTAATTACTGTGTCTACATTACAGATATTGCTCACTCATTTCGATGCCTTCAAGTTCCCATCGTCGGACGTGGTGCAATTTCGAGCCTTAATAACGCCCTGCATGCCATCGTGCACCCCGGTGCAGTGTCGTCAAGGCGATGACACCGAGCCGAGGAGTGACAGCCACGCACTTTTGTCTTACGGCAGGCGCCGTAGACGCCGGTCCGTGGACCAATCCCCACCCAACGACTGGACCCTCGTGCAGACCATCAAGATTGTCGACAAACTGTTCGAGAACAACGGCTCGCTGCCCCTTAACGAGGGCGCGTTCGTTTCCACCAAATTTTTCGGCGTTTGCATGGAAAGCCATGAAATAGCGCTGAGCGGCGCCGTGTTTCTATTTGCCGAGGCATTCGTCATTCTGATGTGGGCCTTCATGTGGAAGAGGAAGCAGACTGATAAACTTCGAGAGCAATTTGCGCACGGAATACAAAAGGGAAGTAACGCGATGAGCAGTTCGAGCGTATCCGAACTGTACGGGAGCGATTTCGCGAGAAATTTTTGAGGAGTTAGAGTGTAACGTTTTTTTTATGTTTTTGGGACGTGGTACTTCTTGTACAAATTTAGGACATTAGGCGTAAGTTTGATAACAACAGCAATATAGGGATGGACGACGTTAAGTACAGGTAGATAGAAGCGCTAATGTAGGTACTTTTAAATTAATTACCGTTGTTTCTTATTATTTTATGAGTTTAGCGAAAAAAATCGTAAAATTTAATCAGAATATTGGGTTATTCGATTATATTGATTTTTCCTGTTAATCGAAGTACCTACCCGATTATTCCGATTAATGGTTTCTTCAGATAAATCGAGTTTTTCTATTAATCGACCGTTGCAATTAATCGTAATAATTGATAATTTTCTTATAATCGATAATCGATTGTAAAATTTAATAATAGATGCTACTCGCAAGTCAATCAAAAAAAATTCACATTCGAGGCAAAGGACAATGTAACAATTTATTTATTTACTTTCAATTTTTATATTTAGTATTGTTCGACGAGTTATTCTTCCTTTAGATGGTTATTTTGTTTTCTGTCTTCAAAAAAATCTTTACATTAATTCATTCTACATTTTAAATGTATTAATCAACACTATGAGCAACTCTTTCGAAACAAAGAACGTTTTATTAAATTAATGTAATTAAAGTAGATCGTGTCATAAATAATAATCTTTTCCTATAAGCGATTTTAACTTTGTTACGAATAAATATTGTAAATCCATCTATTATTAATACCGGACAGCAGCGAAGATTTGCGGATGATCTTTTTATTATCTATCATCGTGAATTGACCGCTTGTCCCCACGTCTTCGCTGTTATAATTAATTTAAAATTTAGTTTAATTATTTTATAATGTTACAACGTGAGCATCG